GGCCTCAAGCCTGACCACAGCCTCGTCCTTGGCCGTCACCTCGGCTTCCAGCTCGGCCACACGTGCTGCGCTGGTCGCAGCGTCAGCAGCCTGCTCATCTACAGCCGCAATCCGCCGCTCGAGAACCTCCTTCTCGGCCTCAAGCCTGACCACAGCCTCGTCCTTGGCCGTCACCTCGGCTTCCAGCTCGGCCACACGTGCTGCGCTGGTCACAGCGTCGGCAGCCTGCTCATCTGCAGCCGCAATCCGCCGCTCGAGAACCTCCTTCTCGGCCTCAAGCCTGACCACAGCCTCGTTCTTGGCCGTCACCTCGGCTTCCAGCTCGGCCACACGTGCTGCGCTGGTCGCAGCGTCAGCAGCCTGCTCATCTACAGCCGCAATCCGCCGCTCGAGAACCTCCTTCTCGACCTCAAGCCTGACCACAGCCTCGTCCTTGGCCGTCACCTCGGCTTCCAGCTCGGCCACACGTGCTGCACTGGTCGTAGCGTCGGCAGCCTGCTCATCTGCAGCCGCAATCCGCCGCTCAAGCACCTCCTTCTCGGCCTCAAGCCTGACCACAGCCTCGTCCTTGGCCGTCACCTCGGCTTCCAGCTCGGCCACACGTGCTGCGCTTGTCGCAGCGTCAGCAGCCTGCTCATCTACAGCCGCAATCCGCCGCTCGAGAACCTCCTTCTCGGCCTCAAGCCTGACCACAGCCTCGTCCTTGGCCGTCACCTCGGCTTCCAGCTCGGCCACACGTGCTGCGCTTGTCGCAGTGTCAGCAGCCTGCTCATCTACAGCCGCAATCCGCCGCCCAAGCACCTCCTTCTCGGTCTCAAGCCTGACCACAGCCTCGTCCTTCGTTCTCAATGCAGCCTCGAGACCCATCTCCCGCTCCTCGGCCGCTTCGACAGCCGCCCCAAGCCGCTTGCGCAGCTTGCCCACCTCGGCCGTCGCGGCTGCGGCATCGCTCTCGGCAGCTAGCTTCGCCGACTTGGCCTCCACAAGCTGCTGCATCAGATCCCGCTGCGATGCATCCGACGCTGCACTTCTAACACTCTCCCGGACCACAGCAAGCTCGGCCTCGGCAGCTGCAAGCTTCTCCTCCAACTCGCGAATCATCTCACCCGAACGTGACTCGTCGGTCGCAGAGTCAACGCGGACGATAACATCAGCCTTGGCCGCCAGTGCCTCGTCCAGTTCGCGCTCAAGCTCTTCCACTCGCTCGCTGAGCAAGTCGTTGCTCTTAGATGCCGCCTCCAGCTTATTGCGCAACCTCTGCGTCTCAGCATCGCCGCCTTCGCTCGCCGCTACTGCCTCGCGCTCACCCTCCAGAGAGGCCACTCGTGAGCTCAACGCATTTGCGTTGGCTTCGGCAAAAACAAGCTGCTTCCGAAGCCGCTTCTCCTCAACACTCTCCGCGGCGTCCCTGGCATCAAGAACACCTTCAAGCTCCCGGACTCGCGACTTCAGGCTACCCGCTCGTCGCGTTGCCTCCTTCAGTTCGCGCTGGACATGTGCCAGCTCGGCCACCGCGGCTGCCGCATCGCTCTCGGCCTCCAGCTTAAAAGCCTTGGCTTCCACAAGCTGGCGCATGATATCGTCTTCGCGTCGGCCCTCGCTCGCAGCATGCGCAAGCGCTGTCTCGCGCTCGAGTGTCCACACTCGCTCTTGGAGCTCACGAACGCTCTGCTTTTCATCAAGCAGCTGCTGCTGAAGACGGAAGACCTCGCGATCAGCAGCGGCCTCGCGCTCCGCACGCGCCTCGGCGAGTGCATTCTCGAGCTCCTGCACGCGACCACTCAGCTCATGCGTGCTCTCGCCCGCTGAGAGCAGCTTGCTGTGCAGCCGCTCCACCATTGCCGCCGCCGCCGCCGCATCCGACTCGGCGGCCATCTTGGCCGAGCGAGCATCCACCAGTTGCTGCATCACCGCTAGATCGGCACTACTCGCACCCTCCTCCTCCATGCTGCGGAACACAGCGTCCAGCTCGGCCCGTGTCTCAGCAACCTTACGCTCAAGCTTCCGCTCCAGCTCTTCCACGCGCTGATTCAGCTCATCGGCTGAGGCGCCTTCCGACAGCAGCTGGCTCCTCAGCTGCTCGACCTCGGCCGCAGCCGCGGCCGCATCGCTCTCGGCGGCCAACTTGGCTGTCTTGGCCTCCACAAGCTGTTGCATCACCTGAAGCTCGGCCATCGCCTCGTCACTCCCGCGTCCTTGCAACAGCGCCATTTTGTCCTTGAGCGCTCGGTCACGCTCCGACCGAGCACGCGCCAGGTCGCGCTCAAGCTGAGCCACGTGCGTCCCGAGCTCCATCACTTGTGGACCAGGCCGGATCGCTTCCGCTTCCGCTTCGGCCATCGCCGTCGCGCTCGACGTCACTAGCTTGGCACTGAGGTCGGCAACCTGTGCCCGCAAGTGCTCGACTTCAGCAGCCGCGGCAGCCGCGTCACTCTCGGCGGCAACCACTCGCTGCATCATATCCACAAGCGATGTGTCGATGCCCTCTGAATGCATCGCAGCCATCGCCTCGTCGCGCTCGCCACGGGTCCGCATCAGCTCGTCCTCCAGCTCCTGCACTCGCATGTCAGCCTCGGGGACATCTGGCACACTCGCCGCGGCGCTCTCGCTGTCAGCGTCACTTGCTGCTGCAAAGAGCACGTCCGAGCTCGTCGTCGGCGTGAGCAGCTCTCGCCGCAGCTTGTCGACCTCGTTGTCTAGCTGAAGGTCGGAGCCAGAGTCACTCCGGCTCGAAACGAGATTTTGCATCATGGCCAGTTGCACCAAAGTCTCGCCTCGCTTCCGAGCCTCGTTGGCCTCGTCCAAAAGCGCTCGCGACATCGCCAGCTCGCTCTCCAGCTCGGCGACACGCGCCTTCAACGCAGAGTTCTCGGCTCTCTGTGCATCGCAATCAGCACGAACACTCTCGAGCGATGTCTCCAATGCGGACACCTCCTCTCGCAGTGAATTTGTAAGCGTACCGGCGCCTTCGAGCTTCTGCCGCATGGTCTCGAGCTCCGACTCGTTGGCGTTGTTCCTCGACTCGGCAGCCGCTTGTGCAGCGCGCGCAGCCACGAGCTGATACGTGCCGCGCGCGTCATCGACGTGATTCTCTAGCGCTGCATCTCGCGCCGCAGCTGCTGCATCTCGCTCCACAGCCAGCTCCTGTACCGCTGCCTCTTTCTCCTCCAGTGCCGCCTCCAACGTCGCCTTTCTGGTCTCGAGCTCCGCCAGCGCCTCCTGTACAGCTGACTTATCGGCTTCAAGCTCTTCACGCACGGCAAGCATCGACGCTTTCTCGACCACTGCATCCTGCAGGGCTGTGCCTTTCTCCTCCGCCACAGCCTTCAGCGTTGCTACTTCGGCCTCAAGCTCCAGGATCTGTGAATCTTTCGAATCAAGTACGACCTGCATCGCTGCCTTCTCGGCCTCGGCATCCACTCGGGTCTCATTGGCCGCAGTCATGACTCCCGCATCTTCAGGCGCCAGACTCTTGTCAAGTTGGCTCTCTTCGAGCAGTGCTTCGAGCTCATGGACACGGCTGGTGAGCTCTTCGACGTTCTCGACGGCGCTTCGCAGCTGACGACGCAGCTTGCGCGCCTCGGTCTTGGCTCGACTGCCAAGCTTCTTGTCGGCCTTGGCTTTCTCCAGGCTCGCGCGCAACGCATCCACTTCGGTAGCAAGGGAGTCACGGCTCTCTTGCATTGTCGCGAAAGCGCCCCGCATGCTCTCCAGCTCTCCAACTGCGCTTGAGCATCCGGTCTCGGCAGCCATCTTGGCCGCCTTTGCTTCCATCAGTTGCTCCATGAGTGCAGCAACCTCGGCCGCCCTGTGAGCATCCTGAGAGGCCTTCGCTTCCGCAAGTTGTGCGTCGAGCGCGTCGGCTCGAGCGGTTGTCTCGCGCAAACTATTGCGGACCTTGTCAAGCTCACCTGTCGCGGCCGCCACTTCGGTCTCAGCCGCCATCCTTGCCGCCTTGGCCTCTACAAGTTGCTGCACCAAACCCGCGGTATCGGACGCTGTCGCGCTACTGGTGGCCACAGCCTTTTGAAGCTCTTCGCGAAGCGCAGTGAGCTCAGTCGTCGCCGAGGCAGTCTTGTCATCTGCCTGTGCTTTGGCGGCAGTAACGTCGGCAAGTTGCTGTCGCAGATCAGCAAGCTCACGGCTGGCAGCAGCCTGTGTGCTCTCCACCTCAGCGCGCGCGGCTGCAAGCTGCTTCTGCACATCGACCAGATCCTGTACTGACACGGTGCCGTCGGACTCGCTTTCGTTCTCCTTGCGGAGCATGGCCAGTTCTTGCTCGGCCTTGTCGCGATCTGTCTCGGCGATGCTCAGTGCATTACGAAGCTCTGTGAGAGAAGCAGCCGTCGCAAAACTCTCGTTGGCAGCCGCATCTGCCAGCTGCTTGCGGACCGCTGCTAGATCGTTGGATGCAGCAGCAGCATCGCTCACGGCGCGAACTCGCGCGGCATCTGTGGTCGCCAGTTGAGCCCGTAGCTCTGCAATCGAACTCTCTTCCACCTGGTCCATTGCGGCGTCGCACTCGGACAGCGCCATCGCGAGTGCGGTCTCCAACTCAGAGATCCGCTCCACCTTGGCTCCGGCCTCGTGCAGCTGCTTCTTCAACTCTCGCACCTCGCCAGCAGCTGCAGCAGCATCTGACTCGGCCGCCAGCTTGGCTGTCTTGGCCTCAACTAGCTGCTCAACAAGAGCGTCCTGAGTAGCGGTCAAGTTGGCATTCCCGGTCGCGATTGGGCGGCTCGCTACTGTCGCGTTTCTGGTCGCCGCCAGACTCTCGACCAGCTGGCGAGTCAGCTCCGCAAGCTGAAGTCGGAGACGCTCGATCTCTTCGCGACCGGCATCACGCTCGCGAACAGCCATTGTGTGATCCATGCGACACTTGGCGAGCTCGTCGGCCAACTTGGTCACGTCCGCAGGTGTCGGCACGATCGTCGACTGGCTCTGCTCCGCGCGCAAGCGCGCTACTTCGGCATCGGCGCTGGCCAGTCGTCCACGGAGGTCATCAAGTGATGCCCTGCACCGCTCCACTGTCTCCTGCAACGCACGCGAGCGCGTCTGCTCGATAGCTAGAGCGCGCTCTGTAGCCACAACTTGATGCTCAAGGTTATCAACACGTGCCCCCGCCCGCTCGAGTTCGCTCGTGGCCACTGAGCTGGCTACCCTGACGCCATCGAGCTCGCGCTCGGCGACTTCGGCGCGTCCTCGCTCGGCTGCGAGCTCGCTGAGCACTCGCTGGTGCTCGTCGCGCAGCTCACGAAGCGAATGACGTAGCAAACCATGATCAGCCTCGACCGCAGCAAGCTGGCCTCGCGCCTCATCCCGCTCGCGGGCCACATCCGCAAGTTCGTCCCGCGCACGCTGGCTGGCAATCGATGCGTTCAGCTCCTCGATGTCATCATCCACCAGCCCTTGATACATAGCACGCGAGCGCTCTAGTTCGGCAGTGAGCATGGCTACTTTCTTCTCGAGACTCGCCACCTGCATCCCAAGCTTGACGGCCTTGGTCTTCTCGCCCGATGCCTCCGCGCGCGATGCCTCGATTTGGTTGCGGAGATCAGCGGTCCGCGCCATAGACAGCTCGCGTTGGCGCTCCATTTGGGCCATCTTCGCCAAAGCTTCGTTGCGGTCGCGGTGCGCTTCTGTTTGGCTGAGCTCGAGTGCACGCATTTCGTCCTCGATGTCGCGGAGAGCAGCGCCACTGCGGAAGACCTCGCCTTCCAGCTGCTGGCGTGCGGCTTCGGCCGACGCGATGTGGGCGTTGGCTGCGGCAAGCTTTTCGTGCAGTGCCTCGTTCGACTCAGAGCCCTCCATAAAGGACGCGGCCTGGTCGAAAGCCTTGGCCTCAGCTACTGCAAGCCGCCCCGACAGCTCGGTAACCTCATCGGTGAGTGTATCGCGCTCGGCACACACGATGGCGTACTCGGCCTGAAGACCGTGCTCGAGCTGCGAGGCAGAAAGGTCTTCGCGCTCACGTGCGCGCTTGGCCTCGCCGCGAGCTTTGCGCACTTCATCTTCAAGGCGGGTGCGAGCGGCAGTTGCGGCTTCCAGGCGCTTTTCTGCAGCCGAGACACGCCGCTCGGCGCGAGCAGCGACAGCACTGCTACGCTCCACATCCGAACCGAGCCGCGCAATCTCGGTTCGTGCAGTCCGAAGCTCGGCACGCGTTTCATCGGCCTCCGCCCGCGCGTCTTCAACGTCATGGCGCGTACGCTCCAGCTCGCCCTCGATAGCCATCAGCTTGCTCTGGGTATCGTCGAACATCGCTTCGTTAGCAGCTCGCGCTTCGTTAGCTTCGCGCAAATCTGCCTGCACCGACGCTAGCGCGGCCTTCGCCTCTTCCAGGTCTTGTACCGCAACCACTAGCTTGGCTGCCGTTGCACGCAAGCTTCGCTCAGCTTCGGCAGTCTGGGCTCGCGCGTCATCGCGCTCGCGGGCAACACGCGAGGCGTCAGTGCGGAGGGAGGCGACAAGGGCCGACTCGTCGTTAGCCCTGGTGGCCTCAACAGCAGAGAGACTCCTGTGAAGCTCTGCCTCGCGGGACGCCGATGCAACAGCAGCACTGTCCAGCTCGTCCTGGACAGCAGCAGTCTCTGCTTTTGCGGTTTCCAGACGGTCACGAAGCGCTACGATCTGGTCCTTGAGTTCGGCCACAAGACGTTCGGATGAGGCCGTCTCGCTCTGGGTGGTGACGAGATCGGCAACGTGAGCGTCGCGACGCGCAATTTCGGCTTGTGCCTCGTCAAGCTGAGACTTGAGCTCGACGCACTCGCTACGTAGCGCCCCAATGTTAGCCTTGCTCTCACTCTGAAGCTCTTCGAGAGCGGCCTGGAGACGGGCGTTGGAATATTCAAGCGCCTTGGTGGCCGCAGCAGTGTCTGCGGCGGCCGCGGCTGCTGCGCGCTCCTGTCGGGAGAGATCCACAGTAAGATCATTGACGTGGCGCTCAGCGGCGTCGGCACGCGTCTTGTGCTCCACAGCGGCTGCCAGTTCGACCCGCAGCGCATCGCGATCAGCCTCGGTAGCGCGAAGACTGTTGGCCATATGGCGAGCTCGCTGGCCACAGATGCCTTGTCCGCCGATGCCTTGCGCTGGTCGGCACGCAGACTGGCAATCTGCTCGCCCAAGCGCTCGATCTCGGCTGTGCGAAGCGACTCTGACGTCTGAGCAGACGCCAGTTCGCTCTGCAAGTCTTGGATAGAGGCTTCAAGCTGTGCGGCGCGCGAGGCGAGCTTCTGGCGCTCCTCGACAAGCTCGTTGATGCGGGCTGTGAGCTTGGACTTATCTTCGCCGGCTTTCTTGAGCGCGGCCTCTAGGTCGGCGATGTGCAGCGCCATAGCGTGGTGCTCGATGGCAGTAGCCTCGGAAGCATCACCGAGCTCGGCCATGTGGGTGGCAGCCTCGCGAATCTCGTCGCGCATGCGCTTGATTTCGTTGTCGCGCTCGGCCCGGCGGGCACGCAGGCGCTCGAGCGACGCGGCCTTGCGCTGGGCGTCAGACTCGGCAGTGTGTTTTCGGCCTCTGTGCGCTCGATTCGTGACTCAAGCGTCATGATCTCTTTGTGGCAGTGGTCAAGATCGGCACGAAGCTCGCTCTCGACGGCAGCAGAGCGCTTGACATTGGCATCGAGGACTGCGCGGGCTTCGGCGGTCTCGGCGCGAGCGCGGGAAGCATCGATACGGGCTGTCTCGGTCTCTTGCTGCGATGCGTTGAGCAGCTGGCGCAGCGACGCAATCTCCGCCTGCGATGCGTCCAGGTTGGCCTGCAGCTTGTCTCGCGAACGATTGATGGCATCCAGGTGGGCTTCGATGTGATCAATTGCGGCGTCAGGTGCGGTGTCACGCATCGGTGTCAGCGTCGCCAGTCGTGACTGCAGCGCGTCAAGGCGGTCGCTGTCGTAGTGGTGAACGTGCGACGGCGGAGTCGAAGGTGTCGCCAATGTCGGTCCTCGCGAGACAGCAAGATCCTCCACGCCGAGTGATGCCTGAGGCACAGTCTCTGAGGCTGCAAGGCGCTGCTCAAGCCTTGCCAGTCGGGCAATGGTGGCCGAGTTTGCAGCAGCAGCCTGCGCCTCTGCGGCGTCGCGAGTACGTTGCAGCTCGGTCTCGAGGTCTGCGAGTTTGCGCGCGGCCGTCGACTCGGCGTTGATCGCTGCCGTCTTGGCCTGGGCCAGCTCAGCCTCGAGGTTTGCAAGCTTGCGCGCGGCCGTCGACTCGGTGTCGGCCGCTGCACCCTGCTGCTCATCACGCATTTCCACCGCCATGGGAGCGCTGCTGCTTGCTTCCGCAGCTGTTGTAGATATCTCGTGCTTCATCCTCTCAATAACAGCCCTCGAGTCTGCCAACTCGGTCTCACATGCTGCCAACTTGTGGCGCAGGGTAGCCTCTGCTCCGTCTTCCTGCGCGACGAGAGCACCAGCGCGCGCAGTAACAATGTCAAGCTCGGCGCGGGTATTGGCGAGCTGCTTGCGGGCGTCGGCAAGACGGGCGTCGGTCTCAATCAACTCGGTCTCGAACCGCTTGCTCTTTGCCTCGGCATCGGCGAGTTTGCCGGTAAGGTCTGAGTACTCGGAGCGAGCATTCGACCGGAAGTGCTCGCTCTCGTTGCGAAGCTGGTCGTTGGCTGCCTCTAGTGCCGACACCTGCGCCGAAACCTGGTCGAGCTTGGTCTGGGCGTCAGCAAGGGCGCTCGCGGTCTGGTCGCGGTCGCTGAGTGCATCTGCCAGAGAACTTTCAAGCTCTGCAATCTTCGCTTGACTGGCAGCAAATGCTGAAGACTCTGTCGCTTGCAAAGAGCTCTTGACTTGTGCCAGTTCTTCAGCCTTGCCCGCAGCATCGGCCTGGGCGGTCTCAAGCATCTGCTTGGCCTCGGCGAGCTCCTTGGCCTTGCTATCCGCGTCAGCCCGGGCTTTGTCGAGATCCTTGGCCGCGCCGGTTTGAGCTTCCTCAAGCGCCTGCCTGACTTCGCCGAGCTCCTTGGCCTTGGCATCGGCATCGGCCTGGGCAGTCTCAAGCGCCTGCCTGACTTCGCCGAGCTCCTTGACCTTGGCCTCGGCATCGGTCTGAGCAGTCTCGAGCGCCTGCCTGACTTCGACAAGCTCATTCGCCTTGGCATCGGCATCGGCCTGGGCGGTCTCAAGCACCTGTCTGACTTCGACAAGCTCATTCGCCTTGCTCTCCGCGTCAGCCTGGGCTTCGACAAGCTCCTTGGCCTTGGCCTCGGCATCGGCCTGGGCAGTCTCAAGCGCCTGCCTGACTTCGCCGAGCTCCTTGACCTTGGCCTCGGCATCGGTCTGAGCAGTCTCGAGCGCCTGCCTGACTTCGACAAGCTCATTCGCCTTGGCATCGGCATCGGCCTGGGCGGTCTCAAGCACCTGTCTGACTTCGACAAGCTCATTCGCCTTGGCCTCCGCGTCAGCCTGGGCTTCGACAAGCTCCTTGGCCTTGGCCTCGGCATCGGTCTGGGCGGTCTCAAGCACCTGCCTGACTTCGCCGAGCTCCTTGGCCTTGGCATCGGCATCGGTCTGGGCGGTCTCGAGCACCTGCCTGACTTCACCGAGCTCCTTGGCCTTGGCCTCGGCATCGGCCTGGGCGGTCTCAAGCGCCTGCCTGACCTCGCCGAGCTCATTCGCCTTGCTCTCCGCGTCAGCCTGGGCTTTGACAAGCTCCTTCGCCTTGCTCTCGGCATCGGCCTGGGCGGTCTCAAGCGCCTGTCTGACTTCGCCGAGCTCCTTGGCCTTGGCCTCGGCATCGGCCTGGGCGGTCTCAAGCACCTGCCTGACTTCGACAAGCTCATTCGCCTTGGCATCGGCATCGGCCTGGGCGGTCTCAAGCACCTGTCTGACTTCGACAAGCTCATTCGCCTTGCTCTCCGCGTCAGCCTGGGCTTCGACAAGCTCCTTGGCCTTGGCATCGGCATCGGCCTGGGCGGTCTCAAGCACCTGTCTGACTTCGACAAGCTCATTCGCCTTGCTCTCCGCGTCAGCCTGGGCTTCGATAAGCTCCTTGGCCTTGGCCTCGGCATCGGTCTGGGCGGTCTCAAGCACCTGCCTGACTTCGCCGAGCTCCTTGGCCTTGGCATCGGCATCGGCCTGGGCGGTCTCAAGCGCCTGCCTGACTTCGACAAGCTCATTCGCCTTGCTCTCTGCGTCAGCCTGGGCTTCGACAAGCTCCTTTGCCTTGCTCTCGGCATCGGTCTGAGCTTCCTCAAGCGCCTGCCTGACTTCGCCGAGCTCCTTGGCCTTGGCCTCGGCATCGGCCTGGGCAGTCTCGAGTGTCTGCTTGACCTTGGCAAGCTCCTTCACCATACTCTCAGCGTCGGCCCGGGCCTCAGCAAGCTCCTTGGCTTTCCTCTCGGCATCAGCCTGGGCTGCGCGAGCCTCGGCCTCCGCCATGGCGCCACTCCTCCTGATCCGCACCAGCTCAGCCTCGGCAGCATCGCGCGCGACTTCGACTTCTGCCAATCGCTCGCGCGCCGCCTCGCGCGCCGCAGTTTCATCGGCTTGCTTCCGCGCTGCCCGTGCAAGGTCGGCCTTGAGCTCATTCACGTGCTTGGACGTCGTCCGTGTCTCAGAGTCGAGAATCTGCGCCTTGCGCTCAACTTCGGCTTCAGCCTCGCGGGCACGCGCCATAGCCCGCTCAAGATCAGCCTTGAGCTCAGCCATCTCGCGCCCAATCCGCTCCGCACGCCGCGCTTCTTCTTCGGCGGCATCACGCGCAGTCTCGAGTTCGCTGCTTGCGGTTCGAGCCTTGGTGCGCAGCTCGCGCTCGCGCTCCTCGGCCGCCGCCAAACGCGACGTCGCGTCATCGCGGGCTGCTGTTGCTGATCCAAGCCGGGCGTCGAGCTGGAGCTTGTCAGCCTCCAGCTCGTCAACACGAACGCGCAAGAGTGCAATTTCCTTCCGCATAGTGCTGCACTCACTACGGAGTGTCTCTGCCTCGGTTGCAGCTTCGGCCGCAAGAGTATCGGCACGGTCGCGCCCCGCCCGCAGCGTTGCCACCTCGCGCGTGAGTTCGTCGACGCTGACTTGCGACGAGTGCTTCTCACTTTGCACTTTCTTGAGCTCATCGGCAGCGGCAGTGACCTCAGTCTCGAGCTCCTCGCGGCGGTTGGTCTCCGCCGCAAGGAGCCCCTCCAGCTTAGCCGCCTTGGCCGAAAGTGTCTTGTTCTCGGAAGCGGTAGTCTCCGCGCCAGCTGTAGTGCTCTCAATGTCACATTGGGCCTTCTCCAGCTTAGCCTCTAGCGACGCAATCGACGCGTCCGCCGACCTAGCCTTGACTTTTGCGGCCTCAAGCTCAGATTCAAGGGTGCGGATGCGTGACTTGTGAGTCGCATCAAGCGTGTCACGCTCGCGGCACGCCGACTCCAGCTCCGCCTCTAGCTTCGACGTCCGCGAGCGCAGGCCTGCTGCCTCGTCGGCGGCGGCCGAGCTTCGGCTCAATCGCTCCTCCTCGAGCGCGGCGAGGCGGGTCCGGAGGCCGGCCTCGCGGGCCTCGGCTGCTTCCAAACTCTCCTCCATAGAGCGTGCCTGGGATTCAAACCGCGATGCCTTGGCAGCTGCTTCAGCCGCCTCCTCCAGCGTCTCGTCACGCACCTGGACCACACTGCGGAGCTTCTCGTTCGCGGCAGAAAGCTGCTTCTCCAGCACTACCACGCGCGCCCTGTACGGCTCCGCGCCCGACCGTTCTGTCGCCAGTTGAGCATCAAGCTCTGCTACCTGCGACGAGAGCTCCTTGCGGCTCTCGCGAGCGAGTGAGACCACAGACTCCAGCTCGCGCTCGAGCTCCCCAATTCGTGCCTCGAGCTTGGACACTGCCTCGGTACTGCGCATAGAGCTGGTCTCCAGTTCACGCTCAAGATAGCGAACCCGGCGGTCCTTGGTGGCGAGGCGAGTTGCCAGCTCGGCGGCTTCGGCCGAGGCACCGGCTGCCTGACTGGCGAGCGCAGATCGAGACTTGGCGAGCTCGGCCGAGGCCGCCTCGGCAGCCTCGGACGCAGCCGTGCTTTCCGCTTTGAACACGGCCTGTTCATCGGCTGCGGCAGCAAGGGCGCGCTCGAGCTCTTCGACTCTGGCTTCGAGTTCGCTGGCATGCTTGGAGTCCGCAGTCCGAGCCTTGCGCTCAGCCGCAAGCTGAGCCTCGACGCTGTCGCGCTCTTCACGAGCGGTGGCGAGCGACGCCCGCAGCTCCGACTCGATCGACGTGAGCGACGAGTCAAACTGGCTTACCTGTAGCGTGAGGACTTGCAGTTGCTCCGACTTGGAGCGGACCTCAACCTGGGCTGCCGTTTCGGCTGCCTTGGTCGCCTGATACGCTGAGGTGAGCGACTCCAGCTCACTCCGCGACGTGGCCGCCAGCTGCTTGTACTCGCCGCGGACGCGGTCGAGAGCAGACCGTAGCGTAGTGATCTGCGCAGTAGCTCTGCTCAGGTCGCGCTCATGCTCGCTGGAAACACGACGGCTCTCCTCCAGAGACACAGTGGCAGTCTCTAGCTTCGAGTACGCGGTCCGCATGCTCTCATTGGCTGACCGGGCGGCATCCTCGGCAGCCACGGCGCGGGCCAGCAGGGACTTGCGGTCCTCTTCAAGGAGGTGGACCTGGTCGCGCAGAGCAACGAGTGCACCGTGGAGCGACGCCGCGCTCTCAGCCCCACTCTCCGAGTTGAGCTGGAGCCGCAGGGCACTGAGCTCGGCGCGGAGTGCTTCCAGCTCGGCGTGTTCAGCCTGGGAGGCCGTAATCGCCTGCTTGAGTCGAGCGCGCAGCTCGGCGGGCTCGGTTGACTCTAGGTCTCCGAGCTTGAGTGGTCCATAGCCGGCAGAGGTAGTCGTAGCATGTGATTTGGCTTGCGCCTTGCCCTCGAGCTTGGGCTCAGGCTCGGGCTCGGGCAAGAGAGCCAAGTCGGACGGGCCAGCCGCGGAGCGGGCGGCCGCCAGCTGTTCGCGCAGCTCCTTTTCGGTCTCGAGATGACGCCGGTTGCGCGCATCGGCTTCGGCGAGCGCGTCGCGGAGGTGCGTCAGCTGCGCCTCGAGTGAGTCGAGCTCCGAGCGCGAAGCCAGTCGCGGAGAGGACGAGCTCTGGCCGGGCCGGCGGGGGTCTTGGGCGAGCGCGGCGCAATGGGCACATCGTGCGAGCTGCGCTCGGCACGGGCCGAGGCCGCGAGCTCGCTCTCCTCTGTAGCGGCATCAAAGACGGTTGAGCTTGGCGCAAGGGCGCGGTGCTCGGCGAGGGCGAGGTGGAGAGCGACGTGGGCAGCCTGGTGTGTCTTCACCAGGCTCATGGGTCGGATTGTGGCAGCCGCAAACTTGCGCAGCGGCGACTGGGCCGGGAGCGCGACGGGCGACAGCGGCGGTGCCGGATCATGCTCAGTGGTGAGGGCAAAAGAAACTCGTCCATGCGAACAAGAAGAGTGCGGAGCATGGCGGCGCCGTAGGCTGCGCGGGCTCGGGCAGAGACGTCGTACTGCGGCAAGTCTCCGTCAGCAGCTACCTTTTCCAGGGCACGGGCAAGCTTGCGCGCAGCCTTGAGCGCCGATGAGAGGCGAGAGTGCGAAAAGAGGAGGCCGGTGTGGACGGCGGCCATCATCCTAATGGCGTCGTTCTCCTGAATAAAGTCAAAATGAAGGGCCATGACATTACAAAAGTCCGCCACCAGCGAGGTGAGCCAGGCGCTAGGCATTGGGCGCGACGGGAGGAGAGTGAGCGACTCGACAAGGATGTCGACAAGCGAGGTGGCGAGTTGGGCGCGGGCGCTGAGCTCGGCAATGGCGGCATCGAGATCGTGCGCCGGAACGCGCTCGGCTGCGAGCGCCTGGCGGAGCTCGTCGGCAAGGGAGAGGACGTGGGTAGCCGAAGCAACCGAGACGCCGTGCAGGGCGCGCGCGACGCGCTGGTAGTTCTCGTTATCGTCAAGGGCAGGATACGCGGCTGAGAGACCGTTGAGAAAGGGTACAAACGGATGGTTGGGGAACGACGGCAGGGCGCGGGCTTGAGAGACGAGGGCTCGGAGGCGCGAGGCGACGTGCGAGGGCAGCCTCGTGGCCAAGGCCATGACCTCGATGAGGCCGCCAGAAAAAGCCGCAGGCGACGAGCCAATGAGGAGGCGACCAGCAATGGCAAAGACATAGGCCCGGGTGGGGGTGGCTACCAGCGGCGGGATGGTGGCGAGAACAGAGATGACATTGGTTGGTGCCAGGCCGAGGCGGGCGAGCATGGGCGCGTTCCACTCGGGCAAGTCCGACATGGCTGTGAGGAGAGCGTGCGCGAGCTGCGTCGAGCGGGCTGCAAACTGAAGCGGGAGCGAGTCAGAGATGCCGAGGGCGGCGAGCCATGTGGTGACAAACATGGTGAGCTCAAAGGCCTGCACATGCATGAGAATCGGGGTAGAAACAAGCGAGTGCTCACCAAACATGTCGGAGAGATGGCCAAAGGCGAGGACGGCCGGATGGCTTGTGTGTGAGGAGAGGGCGCGCTCGGTGGTGATGGCCAGGATGCGGGCAGCGAGAAAGGCGCGGAGGAGGGCGAGCGCAAACGAGGAGCCGAGCACCGAAGGCAGGGCGGAGACGTGCTGCTCGACGGTGCTGGCGAGTGCCGGTGCCATCTCAACCACAAACTTGAGCAAGGTGGCATCAGGTGCGTCGCCGGGCAGCAGCGTTGACTTGGCCAGCGCCTTGACCTTGGCGAGGATAGCCCACAGCTGGGCCGAGCCCATGTAGGCCGCATCGGCCGTCGAGTCCGACAGCGGCGATGACGAGAGCGCAGCGGCCACAGCATCCGACGGAGCAACATGCGAGGAGAGAGCCTCGAGAACAGCCGCAAGCGAGTCAAGGGCATCGACAGCGAGACGAGCAGTGAGCGGTGACCCGCCGCCAAAGTACGCCCTCAGCACTGTAGTCATGTAGTGAATGACGAGCGGGTGCGGTCTATCTGCGGTGACGAAGACAGCAAGTACAGATGGAGCCCTTGCCGAGGGCTTACGCAACGGAGTCCCACCAGGACTCCTCGGCTCATCTGCCGGAATCAGTAGCGTGTCGGCCTCGGTGAGGAAGACATCGACCTGTGTCAGCAGGCCCAGCAGACGTGCCCGCAGTGCCGGCGGCGCATGTTCAGGCCGCGGCGGGCCCGGGAGTGCCGGGAACGACGACGACGTCGCACCCATGACCACCTACACCTACACACCGTACAAGCAGGGGGTATGGGTGTGCGAGGGTGGGGGGGGGGAGTCGTGTGTGTGAAGGGGGTGTGGGGGGGGGGT